ATATCTATGTTCCACTTTTCTTTTGGAAATATAGGAAATATGATTTAGTTTAAGATGATTACAAAGAATTGAGAGGATAAGGCATCACTATATATGCTCTTGAAGAATATCACACAAAGTTCATACTAGAGCCGACGTCTAAAGATTAATTATTTCTTTTGTTTCTGAAGTTATTTTTACGAAATGTGATCCAGTGGTTGTTAAGGTCAAAGTTATTGACATTTTATGTGTGAGATCCCACGTCGGTTGGAGAGGAGAACAAAGCATTTCTTATAAGGGTGTGGAAACCTCTCCCTAGTAGACACACTCTTATAAGGAATGCTTTGTTCTCCTCTCCCTAGTAGACACGTTTTAAAACCTCGAGGGAAAGCCCAAAGAAGACAATATTTGCTAGCGGTGGGCTTGAGCTGTTACAAATAATATCAGAGCCAAACACCGGGCGGTGTGCCAGTGAGGACGCTAGGCCCCCAAGGGGGGTAGATTGGGAGATCCCACATCGGTTGGAGAGGAGAACAAAGCATTCCTTATAAGGGTGTGGAAACCTCTCGCTAGTAAACACACCCTTACAAGGAATGCTTTGTTCTCCTCTCCCTAGTAGACACGTTTTAAAACCTTGAGAGAAAGCCCAAAGAGGACAATATCTGCTAGCGGTGGGCTTGGGTTGTTACAAATAACATCAGAGCCAGACACCGGGCGGTGTGCCAGTGAGGACGCTAGCCCCCAAGGGGGGTAGATTGGGAGATCCCACATCGGTTGGAGAGGAGAACATGGAAACCTCTCCCTAGTATACGCGTTTTAAAACCTTGAGGGAAAGTCCAAAGAGGACAATATCTGCTAGCAGTGGACTTGGGTTGTTACGTATTTGGAATTTGTATTCACAATTTTTTTTTTTTGGCACGAACCACTTGACGCGTTCTTTAACAAAAAACACTATTTGTGAAAAAAATGAATAAAAGATAAAGTCGTTAAAGAGTTAAGTTTTGTAAATTGAAGCAGTCATGGTATGCTTGTTACAGCTATTGCAATGATTCATAATTATGGCTAAAGCTTTTATTTTGTTCAGGAAACATTTGCTAGCCATTCACTTAGTCCAGATGTGGAAATCCAAGAGAGTCCAAACGAAGACGAATCTAATTTTCCCTCGGCATCGCATAATTTTGTCGAAATAGACAATCATTTCTCTGATTCATCAAATGACTATGAAGACTGGACGGCATTTGATGAATTCATGGATGTGGATGCATATTCAGCTTTGCAAGCCCATTTTGATCATATGGATATTCCTCCTGATATCGAAGCACCAATACCATGGCTGCCTCATGGTCAAAATGGAAACAATATCGACACTGAAACTAGCACCTCGTGGTCATCATTAGCAGAACCTCAAACTGAACCAGGCCCTGTTAATCATCTAGGCAAATCACCTGCTCATGTTCAGCTGAAGGAGGCTTTATCAAATAGCCTAAACTTGCAGGCTGACATTGGTGTTCAGAACCATCTTCCTGAAGATATCGAACCTTTTGCATCGTTTCCTTCGCAAGACGTTCAACCAAATAGGAAATCAGCTACATCTCGCTACCGGGGCAAATACGGGGTTAGTCACTTAAATTCCGCACTTGGTATCGATGCAGCTAAGTCCCGGAGCTTTTTGGACCCTTTTAAGCGTAAAAAGAAGCTACATGAATTAAATAACATTTCTATTAACACATCTGATGCAATAAAGTTACATAATGGAGGCGAGACATCTGATACAGCTGACAGTGTAAAGAAGCTAGCTGGTTTGCATAGTATGCCCCATTCAAAATTCCCTGGGTATATGGAATTCTTTAAGCACCCGGAAGCAGGACAACCTATGCCACATTGGCCAGATTATGCCAAAATGAAAGCCAAGGAGCCATTTTTTGGCCCTCATATGGCTTCAGGTCTTTATGGTCCATTTAGTCCTCTTGTTCCTCCTACTCTTGGAGAAGTTGTTGATATGCCATGGGTTCAGAGTTCCACCAAAAGCCTTCCAAACATTGATCCAGATGACTCGATAAACGAAACAATTGCACCCACAGACTTGGACGAAATCTTGGGGAACTTCGAGCAGTTTAAACAATTTGATACCGTTGACGATCATTCCGACCATCACTATACTAGCAAAGGTTTTAGCATGAAACAGGTCTAAGTCTTGAACAAAATTATCTGTTTATGAACATTCTTATTCGTTTTTACCGGTTCGTTCTTAGATCTTCTCTTGTTGCCAGGCATCGAAGAAATGGACAAAGAAAATTCAGGACGACTGGAAGATCCTGCAGAACGATTTACCTGGTAGATTTCGATTTCTTTTCCTCTATTTAGAACATATTATAGATTCATGTTAAAAAAAGATTAAGTAATCTCTTTCTTAATCTGTTGAACAGAAACTATATTTGTTAGAGTGTATGAATCAAGAATGGATCTTATGAGGGCTGTCATCATAGGAGCACAGGGTACTCCATACCACGATGGATTATTTTTCTTCGACATATTTTTCCCAACTGCTTATCCAGACCTACCGCCCGTACGTTCTTTTTTCGGTGTCGAGATTTCACTTATTACTATATTGTGCTTAAATTTCTTACAGACACTGTTTTCTTCAATGCAGCATGTCTATTACCACTCTAAGGGCCTTCGACTTAACCCGAACTTGTATAATTGTGGGAAAGTATGTCTAAGTCTGCTTAACACGTGGCGTGGCAGTGGAAATGAGAATTGGGTTCCTGGCATGTCGACCATGCTTCAGGTTCTCGTCTCTATCCAAGGGTTGATCTTGAATACAAAGCCTTACTTTAACGAGCCCGGGTATGCATATCAAAGTGGATCGGTTGCAGGCGAGAATAGGTCTCAACGGTATAATGAGGAGGCGTACATCCTGTCTATTAAAACCATGGTGTTTAACATCAGGAGGCCACCAAAGGTATGGTTCTAGACTTCTTTTCCTGTTTTGGAGCTTTAGTATGTTGACTATAGTATCAAGTGATGGCGTCTTGAGCTTATTTCGGTTTAAACGCTAAACCAATGTAGCAAGAGCTTCATCGAATTTCGATCATAAACGATGTTGTTGTATGTTGTTGAATAAGTTTAGAATTTCTTTTGCTGCAGCATTTTGAGGACTTTGTTAGGGGACATTTCTTCAAAAGGGCTCATGACATTCTGGTGGCATGTAAAGCATATATAGGTGGTGCTCAGGTAGGATCTCTAGTGAAAGACAGAGTTAAAGATCTCAAACCGAGCAACAAGAGCTGCTCGGACCATTTTAAGCAATGCGTGAACCATGTTTTGAGTCGGCTCGTTGAGACTTTTAAAAGAATTGGGGTCAGTGACTGCGAGAAGTTCTTGCAACCGCTATCGACGTCGGTATCAAATGCAAAAGAGCAATCATCAGCTAGGGGTAGTAAAGCTGAATTAGAAAGCTTGGAAGGCGACGATGTCGAGAAGTTGGTTTTGGGATAGATTTTGAACGTGTTAACGTCTAACTGAAACGAAGTCGAGTGTTGATAGATGTCGAGAGTAGTTTAGAGTTTAGAGGAATCATAGTAGATCTTGCTGCTGCCCTATGTCTATAATTTTGTCATAATGAACATATATGATCTCTAATTTTGTACATAAGCTTGCTTCTATATGCACTGGAGGAGAAGGTCTTTACCTTCCAACAGGCTATGAGACATTGTTATAACCTGTTTCATTTTTTGTTTCTCATGGTAATAATAGATCTTTATGCTTCTTTTTTTTATCAAATATTTGAATTTTATCTTCTCTCTTCTCGATTGATTGATCGATCAGTTTGCTGAATTGTTGTGAGATCCCATATCGGTTAGAGAGGAGAACGGAGAACAAGATAGTACCTTGGCCCGTAGGTCCTGACACAAGGTAAGAATTCTAGTTCTTCTAGAGTGGTATCTCACTGATGGCTCGGGCCCCTTGGAAGGGGGCCTTTGCCCTCCACCTAAGCTGCGCAGGAAAGGGAACAATGAAGTTTCATAGGGTCTGTTAGGAAATGAAACATTTTCATAGGGTCTTTCTGTCCGATGCAGGTAGTTAGGAAATGAAACATTTGTGTGAAAACTTCTCTCTAGTGGACGCGTTTTAAGAGGAAGTCTAGGAGGGAAAGTTCAAAGAGGATGATATTTGCTAGTGGTGGATAGGTTTGGACTGAAACAAATGGTATCAAAGCTAGACACTAGTTGAGGACACTGGGTCTCCAAGGGGGGTGGATTGTGAGATTCGATCATATCGGTTGGAAAGAAGAACAAATTGAGCTGTTACAAATGGTATAGAAGCTAGACTCCGGTCGAGGACGCTGAGCCCCCAAGGGAGATGGATTGTGAGATTCGATCATATCGGTTGGAGAGGAGAGCGAATTGGGCTGTTACAAATGGTCAAAGCTAGACACCGGTTGAGGACGCTAGGCCCCCAAGGGAGGTGGATCGTGAGATCCAATCATATCAGTTGGAGAGGAAAATGAATTGGGCTGTTATAAATGGTATCAAAGCTAGCACTGGTCGAAGATGCTGGGCCCCAAAGAAGGTGGACGTGAGATCCCATATCGGTTCTGTGTTTAGTGTAAAGCAAGAGCTAATTGATTGGTTAGTCAACTAATGGATAGACTAAAATTGTAAAATAATTAAACAAATAGTAAATATGAAATTTATTTTTTAATGAGATTTCATAATTTAAACTAAAAAAAATCAAATTAAGGGTATGGCTAATTTAGGGAACTTAAAATTTAAATGGATTTAAAAAGATTTAAATTACACCATCCCTAAGGGGGAGATCACCTCCGAGGGCAAATATGGAAAGATAATGTAATTGTTGTGCACGTGCGCTTTGTCTATTTTTCAAAACCGGGCTATTTATTTTGTAATTGGGCCTGACCGAGCCCAATTGAAGCCCAAGCGAAACCAAGCCCAAGTTTCATCAAAACCTTTATTTATTTTTTTCATAAAATTAATTAATTAATACAATTAGTATTGGCGCTCACTCCCTTCCCCCGCCAAACTTCAGAACACAGAAGGCGGAGCAAAAATGTCGAGCACCAATCTCCTCCGTTTCCCTCTCCTTCAGCTCCACTCCCGGCCGCCGTCCACTCTCTTTTTTCCTGCCATTAAATCGCATCTCTCCGTCGTATCGATCGCTTTTTCGACCTCCCAGTTCCTTCGTAACCCTTCCCATGGTCCGGCAAGGTTCGCGCTCATGGCAAAGCCTCCAAAAAGCGACAGCACGGAGCAGAAATGGAGCTACGAAGGCTCTATCGTCGATTCTCTCCCCAATGGAATGTTCAGAGTTCGATTGGATAATGAAGATCTCATTCTTGGCTACATATGTGGTAAAATTCGGAAGAATTTTGTGCGTATTTTGCCTGGTGATAGGGTTAGGGTTGAAGTTAGTCGTTATGATTCTAATAAAGGCCGTATTGTCTATAGACATCGAAGCAGTAGTTAGGATTCATCTTCATGAATGCTAGTTGGATTTATTAGTTTGGAATGTGTTGATTTTGTGACATAGTGTAGTGATCCCTCTTTTTGTTCTTCTTTAGAATGTAAAATGAGAAAAGTGTAGTTTGCTTGAGCTCCATTGTTTTTGTGATTTGTAGTTGTGGTTGAATCGCTAAGAGTTCCAGAGCTCATGAATTTATGTCTTGTTCGTAATTGTTTTGAACTAAAGAAAGAGGATAATTTTGCTTTTCCAGTTTATTCTTTGAGATGCTTTTGGTTTTTCTTCACAAGGGATATTAGCATGCTTACCTACTTGCAGAAATTAAATAATACGTGCATATCTGCAATGGAATTGAATACTTCATAACGGAGAAAGTTTTCAATCTAGTTACTTGCACCTGATACTAGGTTGATACTGGGTTCCTTCTGTGAGATCCCACGTCGCTTGGGGAGGGGAATGGATCATTCCTTATAAGGGTGTGGAAACCTCTCCTTAGTAGTAGACGCGTTTTAAAACCTTGAGGAGAAGCTGCCCAGAAAGGAAAGTCCAAAGATGACAATATCTCCGAGCGGTGAGGTTGGCTGTTACACCTTCTTGTAATTCTTATTTATAAAAGCAAAACCAACAAACAAGCAAGTGAATGGTGCAGGGTTGAACTTGTCAAACTGTCGTCATATTCAACAAGGAACCAGAGGAAAAGAAATCAAATTCAGGGGCTGTGAAGTTGATGACTGAAGCAAGAGCCAAGTATGTGTATTTTATTGTTGAAGTTGTGATATAATTAAATTTACCATAACTTATCAGCTTTTAAGTTCTTGGGTCAGTTTTGAACTTAGCTATATCTTCTATTAAATCTTGAATTCCATTCTATTCAGAGTTTACCTTTTGCTGTTATATTGGGGGATGGTGAATCACGTGTATATATACTTAGTCATCTCATTTCATGGAACATTTGTATGATTTGAAGTTGGCTAATGTTGCATAAGTCAAGAACTAGTTTCGATGTGAGTTTCTGCTAATATAATGCTCTGCATAAACTACCCTTTACAAGCATCAATAAGTTTGCTGCTTTTTCTGTAAGATTTGTTGTAGAACTAGCTCGGGCTTTGTTTTGTTGCTATGGATGCTTTAAGCGAAAAGTAACCAAAGACAAGCTGTTCTTTTCTGGCACGTTCATTCTCAAAACCCCAAATGTGAGATTCCACATCGGTTGGAGAGGAGAATGAAACATTCTTTATAAGGGTGTGTAAACCTTTCCCTAACAAACACATTTTAAAACCTTAAGGTGAAGTTCGAAAGGGAAAGTCCAAAAATGATAATATATGTTAACGTGGGCTTAGACCGTTACACTAAAGTTCATGATTTTGTATTAGTCAATCCTCGGCTACATCAACCATTTATCTTTACCTTTTGCCTTATGCATGATTTGCACTTAAATCTCTCTGATGGCATGCTCGTCTTTTGAAGGATGTTAGACACTAAGAATGATGACTCTTTGGATGTTGTCTTGTAGCTTTTTTCTAATACAGTTGAGAACTTGATTAGGACAGTTTTTTCTTCCAAAATCACAAGACAAATCCGGTTGAGGATGTGAATGCACTGACTTTGTTTTTTTTTAGTACAATATCGTGTGATACGAGGATTTGATCCTCGACCTCGAGGAAAGGAGTATGGCAATTATCGTTTATCTATGCTCATATTGGTAGATTTTACGCAACTTAGTTTAATGGATGTTGATGAATGTATTGCTACCTTGTATTATATTAATCTTAGATTGGCATAAAACTTCATGCTAGCTACCTACTTAAGATATTTAAATTCTATGTTTTTTTTTAGTTTGGTAAGACCGTAACATGTCTAGTTGTGACTTTTTGGTTGGGAATTAACATCTTAACCAATTGAGTTATATGTGTGACTTTTTGGTTGGGAATTAACATCTTAACCAATTGAGTTATATGTAGGCTGGCAAAGCCTGTGACTTTTTAAAATCGGTTAGATACCTTCAACTGGGTTCTAGATAGTTACCCCATAGATACTACCCGGTTGGACAGCTATTTATTACTGTATTATTCGAGGAATTTATCCATCTCTATGTTGGGTGTTATGTGGTATGATTTTTTTTTAGGTGATTATATTCAAATTTTCGAAGCTAATGTCCTTTGTTTCTTAAGATAGTTTCATGGATCTATTGGAACTCATATTATATATATATATATATATATATAGTTCACTGTAACTCATGAATGTATGGTATATTTTGTTACCTTTTAAATGTTTAAATAGTTAAGGTTAAATTATAAGTTCATGGTCTTTAAATTTTTAAAAAATCTAATAAATATCTTAATTTTTTTATAACGTGTCTAATAAGCCTCTAAATTTTAAATTTTGTATTTAATGTGTTTAAAATTTTCAATTTTGTATTTACCAAGCATTTGATAAATTTAATAAAAAAAATTAATCCGTTGAATTTTATATGAATAAATTAATGATATATTTGGTACAAAATTTGTATTTCAAACTATGTAAAATTAAAAATTTAAAAATTTATTAGATACTTTTTAAAACTTAAAAATCTTATTAAAAATACTCACAAAATAACCCTAAAATTATTAAATACTTTTTTATTTTTAAATTAAAAAGATTTTTTTAAACACATACCCTTGGTGTATTAATGAAATAAAATATTATCATTTTTTTTAATTTGCCTTAAAATTTAAAGGTTTTTTTTTTCTTTATTTTTTTTTTAAAATTAAAAGTATTATTGAATTTTTTAAAATTTTAAGGTAGTTTTTAGATTTTTTAGATTTTTTTTTTTTTTTTTTTTTTTTTTTTTTTTTTTTTTTTTTTTTTTTTTTTTTTTTTTTTTTTTTTT